CCCCCGGCCCTGCTGCGCGCTCCGCTGCGGGCCGACGCTGTGTGTAAAGAAAGAGGACTTGGGGGCACGGCTGACCGAGCTTCAAACGCTAGGAAAGCTAGACTAGGCCGTATGTGTTTCTTAGAACAGCCGTCCCGGAGATTGTGACATCAGTGTTACTTTTTTTTTTCCCATGCAGGTGGTGCTTGCCACTTCTCTCCTAGAAAATCTAGCGAGGTTTCTTGTAGAGCCTGGTTCTGAAGGTCTCTGTCTGTGGTGTAGGAGGAGCACCCGCGCATCTAAGTGCACAGAAAAAAAGACAGCATGTATGAGTGTATGTTACAACATGCGCTGCCTGTGTTGATGTTTGGTATTCCACAGGCCAGAACTATGCATTTGCAACTTTGCGTATGTAGCCAGAGACTGTGTTTATGCATGGCCTTCGTAGTTTGCAGCTTCTGTGTTCGAAGATAGATCAGAGCCTACAGTTAACTTTCAGCATTTAAAATACAGAGGTTCTAAAAACCAGACTGACCAGGTTAGCAGAGAAGTTTCTTTGACTCAAAACAGGGTCAGTCACCCAGTGTCAGAAGTGCAGTCTAGCCTGTTTCCAGAGGGTTAAGAAATGCCCCATCCATCGAAGCTGTTTCCAGCAGTTTCCTTTCAGTCTCTTCTGTACGTGCTCCTTTACTTTGTTTTTGTGGATAGTTTTAATGCAGAGAGACAGGCTTACTTTTTAGTCTGGGACTCCTGTATGAAGCATGTAAAGTGCTGATTTAGATCTCTTCTCCGAGTGACTTTGCCTAGTGTCTTGAAAACAAGTCTCCACTGAGTGAGTGCCCTAACTTTGTTATTCTGAGGTCTCTGTTTCTCTTTCATTTTTAAAAAAGTCAGAACGTCTTGGTAAAATATTTTCAAGATTTTAAAAATTATTAAAATTATTGAACAGGGTGAAAATGGGAGGAAAAAAAAATCCTTAACAGGGAAAACATTCCCTAACCTAATCGTAATACAAGACTTGCCATCCCTCAAGGCTTTCACGAGTAGACTGCGTACAGATTTATAAACGATCCAGGAAGTTATGCATTGCAAAAGCATACCAGCAAAAGAAATCCTACAGGCAAGATTTTTAGATGTATTGTTTACATAATCCATGTCATAACCTAGCTGATTCGGGAGAAAAACAATCCTTTTTTTTTTCTTTTTTTCTTATATTAGTACTTTTCCAGTTTATGTTCAAGTTATTCCTTCTAGTCCTACCTTTTCCAGAAGTCTTACTATTCCAGACCAGTTCCTGAACTTTATATAGTCAATATTAGTCTAGTAAAAAGATTTATCATTATTTATGTATGTAAAAGTATTCACCTGTACTTCTGTCTAAAGGATCAACATCTAGGTAAAATCATCAGTAGGAGTGATTTTTTTTGAGCAGAATTTCCAAGGGTTTCAGTGAAGCATAAAGCATTATTGTTTTCATTCCTAGATTTGTTACTTTCAATCCATTTTTTCCTCTATTTCCCCCCTTTTTGTTTCATAATGAACAGTATTTATTCCAGAATTCTTTTACGGCAGTTTAGATAGTTATACAATGTTTTTGCTGCATAACATGGTTATCTTACCATGTGTTTGAAGGTTTGGTTCAGATCTGTGACTTGTGCATTTTAACACAAGGCTTGTTAGTGTTAGCGTAATAGTTTCACTTACGAAATTCTTCTGGTACTTGGCAAACAGGAGTGTTGGATGAACCGTTTAAGAAAAATCTGGAAGGGTTAATCTGAGCATGAACTGGGATATTTATGCTTTGTGCAGATTACACAAAATATGTTTAGTTCTTTCTGATAATCTTGAGACTATTTATGCTTGCACAGACCTGGTGTGCATTTCATGTTAATTGTCTGTGACTAGATCATAGTATATGTTTCTTCTGCTCAGATGATGTCTAGGTAGACAAATACAACGTTATTTCAGATTCATAAAGCCTAAATATTGTTTCATGCAGGTTTAGTGGGTTTTTTAAGTGATATGTCTTAGTCATTCAAAAAATCTGCACAGCATGTGGTTCGAATGTGTGACTAGTCTCGTGACTCTCAGAACTGTGCACGTACATAAATATTTTCACTAGTCGGGCTTATGCATACTAAAGCTTCAGTGATTTGTAAATTTAACTTTTTGGCCATGTGAATGGTATTTAAGATTGTAACAAAGTTAGAGACACCTTCTTAGTCTTCCAGTTGGATCTGCTTTTCTGCTATTGAGAGCAATTGAATTTTAGTTTCAGTTAATGGCAAGGTTGGATTAGGCCCTGTAGAAACGATCGATTATTCTAGCTATTTTTTTTAACAAAAGACAGTGACTTAATGATGGTGGTTTGGTTTGTTCCCTTATTGCATGCTACACAGGTTAGGCGTGCAGTCGAGATGCAGCTGCAAAACTGACCGAAGCTAGTGCAAGACTATTGCTACTAAAAGGGTGGCCTCATTCGTGTTTTGTGGGTTTTTGTTGTTGTTACGGCCGTTGCCGCTTTTGCAGCCGGTCGATCAGTTTTGTTTGCTGATCCAGCTAAGACTATGTTTTTATGGTTGGTTTTCAGCCACATTAGTAAAATGAGTTGATGTACATCGATACCAGCATACGCGTTATGTGCGTTATTTCAGTGGGGATTCCCAAAACCATCTTTTTGTATTCGGATTAGGTCAGTTTGTGCTACTTATGAAATTGTACCGTAAAGATGCAGTAACATGATTGTTTAATCTAACGTAAATATGTTATAATGAGCAGTTCTGTCTTTGTACCACTTCTGGCAAACGTATGGTCATTGACCTGTAAAGATTGATTTTCAGCTAGTTTTTTTTCTGGATCCGGTTTACTATGGTATTATCCCAGATAATTGTGTAATCACAGGTGAAGACAGTTTTGAGTATGTTTTGAAAACTGGCTTAGGGAGGGAGATGACTTATCTTTTATAAAGGTTCCAGTGATCTCACGGGATTGTGACTAGACATCTTGTTATTTGGTCTGTGTTACTTGTGATCACCTCATCCTCTAATAGAGAAAAGAGTATATTTTGGATATTGAAAAATATTTATGCTTGACATGCCTATATCTTGGGTAGAGGATGCCCGTAAGTGCAAGTACCCACTTGCGCTTGATTTGTATTTGGATCACATCTCACCTTGACAGAAATACTATTTCAGGAAATGAGTGTATTTCTATGAAATCCATGAGGGCTTTCTGAAGCAATTTAAAAAAAAAAAATTACTGTCAGTGGTTTACTTCGGCTGTGAGAATGTACGCTTCTACCTCTCCAACTACTGCAAACCCGGCAGTCTTAAACTTCTGATGAAGCTGACTTTCAGTGAAGATGATGGAATTTACAGCACTGTATTTAAGAAGCGGGTGCCTGTCTTGTTGGTTCTTCGATGGGAGGTGGTAACATTGAGCAGAGCAGAAGAATGAACAGCGGAGTGGTCATTTCTTAAAGCACTGCAGTGTGGTTTGCTGGAGGTCATGCATTGATGGCAGCTGTGCAACTGTAGTTACACTTGGTAAAGATGTATCTTTAAGATTTCTGAATTTCATTGTAGTGTATGGTTCAGTTGAATTCTGCAGATAAACAAGGTCAATGCTTCGTTATTGATTATAGTTTTGGCATGAAATCATTGTTAGAAGTAGCTTGTCTTCCAGAGAATGGACTGAGGGATTATTTGATAAGAATTGAACATGACATCATAATGAATCATGGCACGTATTGCAGCCGAGTAATTTTACAGTTATGGCAAGTATATTAAGCCTAGATCAACAAACATACTTGTCACTTTTCAAAACAAGCTACAACTAAGATTACAATAAAAGCACGTTTTCTTTAAAACCAGTTCCAATAGAACTGGTTTACCGAAGTGTTAATATGGCCACCCTCAAATTTTGGCTTTAATATTTGGTTCTTCCGGTTAGCATTTTCTTGGGTGTGACTTAATTTTCAAGCCTGTACACATCCTATGTGGTAGATTACTGAAAGTCTACAATTATTACAAAGACTAAGGATTGTATTAAACATACTTTTCTTAAATGTAGATTTCTGAACACTGAAACATAGGTGTTACGTTAGCCTTCAGTTGTTTTATTTGTCTCTAGGCAGATTTCTTCCCTGCCATCCAATAAGTTTTTCTCGTTTCCCTCATTTACCGTAAGGAAGAGAATAGTCTGTTTAAAAACAAACTTTATCTTAATTGTTAGCATATTAACAGCTTTCCTTTAATTCGCATGTGAAATGACATAATATGAGACAACAAAAATCTTTATATTTTTCCATACCAAAAGTACTAGTCTTAGAAATCGGAAATATTTATGCTGAGTGTGAGGAAAGTTTTTCATAAATGTATATAACTACCTAAAAAGCAAGGCAGGAAAATATGTGAAACCTTCTTCTTTTGATAACCATCATCAAACCTCAGATGAAGTTCACTTGAAATGAAATTTACAAAGTGAAATCATAAGAGGATGGAATGTATTTTGCATATTATGATCTGGGCTCAAAGAAGCAAAAAAGTTTTTAGAGTATTTCCATTATTGTGAGAAAAGCGAGAGGAGAGCGGAATTAAAATTTGAAACTAGTAAGATTTCCTGTTTCTGGTTAGTTTTCAGGGTAATTTAAAATTTGACCTAAACAATAACAGTCAGAAAAATTGCAATTTCCTAAATATAAAGGAAGAGTCCATAGAAAGGTATGAAGAAAAGTGTTTGAAATATAACCTTTTATTTGCTAAAAATATGAGTACTTTGTCTAAAATAAAATAGCTCTGACTTTCTTCAGTGAAAGGTGAAGCATGAGGATCTTCTACACCTTATAGTGACAAAATGCAAACCTCAGGGTTTTTTTTCTTATTTTTCATTACTGTATGTTCAATGTACAGCAGAAGAAGCCTGTACCTGTTACAGAGTTTGAAAGGCAATAACTTATTTAGGTTTCTGTGCTTTTAGAGTTGATATTGAGTGCTGTTTTAGCAGTAGTCAATCGTTTTTGAAGATCTAAAAAGTTCTGGAATTCTTTCTTAAGTTCCCTTATATACTTTTCTTTTTCAGCTCAGAAGATAAGATAACTGTTCACTTCATAAATCGTGATGGTGACAAACTAACAGCCAAAGGAAAAGTTGGAGATTCATTGCTGGATGTCGTTGTTGATAATAATCTAGACATAGATGGTTTTGGTAAGTAGATTCCTTAAAGAACATATTAAATGTCTAGAAATTATGATCAATTATCAGTTTATTTTTAATGTCTGTAAAACCTAGTTGTTCTCTATTTGGATTTTTTTCCCCATTTTTCTGCAGGTGGCATAGGGTCAAGTTCTGAAATATTTTGTGGTAGGCCTTGGAAGTTTCAATGTTTAAATGTTAAAGGAGGGGAACGCAGACAGAGTGTTGTCAAAGTAGAATCTGAAAGATGCTACCTGAAAACTCTTCTGTGAATTGGAAGGTTCTGGATGCATAGCAAAATTTGTATATTCCTAACAGTGGCAGGTTACTTCTGACTGTATTGTCAAATAGTCTCAATTTGTTATCAGGCTGCTTGTAGCACAAATTGCTGTAGTGTTTGAGTGCTGAGTGAAAGGAACAACTAAATCTATGTCAGTTAGCGGAGAAGAGCAAGAAATTTAATTCTTATAAGAGGACTAGGGTAAAGCAGACAAGTTCATTTCTTGAACTTTGCCATACTAAGTTCTCTCTTCATGAAAGCAGGCCTAAAAATAAGGAGTGAATGGTGATGGTGCAGATAAACTCTTTTATTTGCCTCCCTAAACTCTGAAATTGGTAATAGAGTGAGTTGTGGTAGTCAGATTCATTCATTTACAGTCAGGTTTTATTTTGGGAGACATTCCTTCGGTTTCCTTTTTTATTCTGTTCTGATTTATAGTTTTTTTGACTGGTCTTTTTGGGTATGCACGTTATGGGAAAATTCCTGGGAGTATAATAAGAGGGAGAAGAACAAAAACAACTTCCCTTGCTTGTTGGCTTCCTTAGTCTCCATAGTTTGATTAGTTTGGGGTTTGTGCTTGTTTGACTTTGGGGGGATGTGTGTGTGTGTGTGTATGCCTCTTTTATTTGGGGGCTCTTAGGGGGGGTTTGTTTTTCATCAGTTGGTATAGGCATAAAATAGGCAGTTTCCCACTCTCAGCCCGAAGTTACAGGCCAGAAAAAGAAATAAAAGTTATTGCCGCGTGCCTATATTTCAAAGACTCATGTTATTTTTAAGTTTGACAAGCAGAGATTTTTCTCCTCTATTCAATATGGTTTTGATTATTTTTTTTTCTACCTTTGGAAAGTAATATCAAAATGATATTTGTAAGAAGGACAAAAAGAGCTTTATCCATTCCATTTCAGATGATATATAGCCATAATCAAACTGACCATGATAAACAATAACAGAAAACTCATGCGTTTGCTTCCTTTCAGAATTTGGTCTCTTACAGTACGAGGAGAGTTACAGCCCTTGTGTTGTTATTAGTGTGGTTAGAGATGAATTTTAAACCACTGTCACATCAGATGTTGGTCAACGTCAGTGCTGATGTTTGAGTATTAGTTTTCTCATGGTATCCTGACAATTTATGAAAAATCATTTCATTCTTCTGAGATAAGATTGTTTTAAATATATATACCAAAAATTAAGAAGATTATAGCAGGTATGGGGTAAAACATACCCTACAAAGCTATACTTCTCTGTATACGTCTCTTTTTTTCCTCAGGAAAAAGAAAATATACCTTCAACTATACTTCAAATATAAGACTTCTAAGTTAGTCATAGTATCTTAGATAACTAAATAGATTATATTTTGAAGGGAAAGAACTGGATGAGAAAAGGGAAAGATCTCAGGAGAATGCTGATGAAGTAGTTTTTGGCAGAAAAGGAAACTTCTGTCAAGGTGAATTTGAGGGTTTTGAAAGAAACAGCCATGAAAGCCTGGAAAAGGCTCTTTAAATCTCACTGACTTAACATTTTATCTTTCCCATTCCCTCAAAGTTCCTTTGGAGAGAAATAAGTTAACACTACTGACAGTGGAAGTAGAAGAGAACATCACATAATTTGACTTTGATTTGTCCTTTCTTCTCCTGAACTGTTGGTAGTGGCACCCCTAGAGAAGACACAGCTGTGGTAGAGCTCTCTGAAGGAGCGCTAGGATTCTCCTCCTCCTCTTTTTCTTTACCATCTAGAAAATTGCACTTACATTTTCTTTTTAGTTAAAAAAAAAAAAAAAACCAAAAACCTTTGTAGACTAGTATTTTAATTATGTAGTGTTTCCAATCTGAGGAGTTGTGAGCCTGGAAAGGTAAGTAAAAGTGGGACTGTAATCTCAGATGTAAAACTGTAAAGCCAAGGTTGTAAATAGAAAAGCATGGAACATACTGAGTTAGCATAATGGTTTCAGAGGTATGTTATATTTTCAAGACAAATGAAAGCTTAGTAGTTAACTTGCCAAACTTAAGTTGGTACGTGTGTGATTGAAAATGCTTACTATGTTAGGAATTATGGTAAAGTACATTCTAGGCAAGAATCCAACTGTTATGTAAGATGGCTGGATAGAGCAAACGCTGTAAGTGTGTGGTACGTACCTTGCCTAAGCAGTAATGCGTTGAGTCACTAAACCTGATTAAGTAATTTAGAGCCTTCTCTAATGGCCTTGGTACAAACTGAATTGTACTCTTTTTGGTTAATCATTTTTCTTAAAAATGAATTTCAACTATGAAAATTTGCAAACATGAACAGACTCTTATATCCCAGTGCCTTAGTGAAACGTGAAGTCGGTATGAGTTCTGCTGAATGTCAGAAAGCGAGGAAGTTCTGAAAACCTTCCTATTCCCTCAGACTTCCCCTCCATAGTTAGTTCCACTGAAGTAGTGGGACTCTGCCCATGCAAAGCAAGCTTTCAAAACGTGGATTTAAATGACTGTGAGTGTAAGTAAGTATTAGTACAAACTAAAGCTGGAAGTGGAGTTATAATATGCATGAGTTAATATATATTAGCATGGAGCAAGTACAGAAAAAGTTAAGTGGGCTAGTCTAGCACACAGTTTGAAATCTTAAGTGTATATTTTATTTACGTGAAAATAAATTTCACTGTTAGTAATAAAATCTCTTTGATAAGCCTGTAGAATCTCTTACGAGTTGCATGCGTGTGGGGAAGAAGAATCACCTCTTGAAAATCTGTAACACATTAGGGTAACTCTAGATTTAGGTAGTGTTTATTAAATGTATCATGTAGGCTTATGGCTAGTCTACTTATACTCTACAGTTAATATCTTCTCACATTTGGAAATGCCAGCCATCTTAAAGCACTGTGAAATTGAAATGGCAATGCTGTCAATATTAACAGGAGCCAACATAAACATTGCGGATGTCCTGACAGTCTTTAATTATAGCATGTGTTAATTCCTATCTCTATAATGGTTTTCTAATAACACATCATACTAGGGCAGAGAAATAATGCAATGTAAATAGTGTGAAAATGTCTGGGTAGTGTTTAAAACAAAAGTAGTGAAGAGAAAAAGGTAAAACAATCTTACCTGTTCACTTTTATCACTAGGGGGCATCCCATGTGCAGCAATAATGATGATAGAAATGTCTCTGTGTAAGGACTTCCAAAAGAGTTGAATGATTCAACTGCACTCAATTCACTTACTATTATCAGCCTTACATTTCAAAAAGAACCTCTGCAGTTTAAGTATACTGATCAGTGTGATTTTTTTTTTCCCCTTTTGTCCAACATGAGAACGCTTAAACTGCTGATATGACAAATTTTAAATTATTTGACATTTTACACTTTGTTAAATAATTTTTTCCTATGGATTTGTATGTATTTGAAGACATACTGTATTTTTAAAATCAAATCTTCTGGTACAGTATCATGTTCATTATGATACATGACTAAGGATACCGTTGTGAAGTATAACAGGACAGTTTTCTGTATGGTTCTTAAACAGTGAATTCTACAGCAGACCTTCTTGTGATAGCAGTGGTTATACATGCAGGCTGTGTTTCCCTTTGCTTCCATGAGTACAGTTTTTTCTATTTCTGATTTCTAATTGAATGATTACCCATACTGTGAATGATCACAATTTAAGCATTCTAAACTAGTAATTTTATAAAAATTGCTTTTTAAACTTAAAAAAGGAAGGAGGAATTAGTCAAATATTTTAAGTATTTTCAATACGTAATTTCAAGTAAATTTTAATGTCGTAGGAAATGTAAAAATGCTATTGACAGCTGAATAGTAAACAGAGAAAGAAACACATATATGAAAGAATTCTGCAATTTGGCTGTAATATGAAAGTTAAGTTTTCTGTTAACTTGGTGCTTTATTTAGGTGCCTGTGAAGGAACATTAGCCTGTTCAACTTGTCACTTAATCTTTGAAGACCACATATTTAAGAAACTGGATGCAATTACTGATGAAGAGATGGATATGCTGGACCTAGCGTATGGCCTCACAGAAACGTAAGGCAGCATAATGCTTCACTATACCAAAGAATTGAAACAAGGGTCTGCAGATGGGACAGTTTGATATTTCTAGAACGCCTTAATCAATTTTCAGTGAATAGCTAGATTCTATTATACAAATGGGACTGGCAAGTTTATATATTGTTTATCTGAGTTTGTATTAGGTAGATGTCAGTAGTATTTTCATAAGGTGAAGAGTGCCAGTTGCCAGCACTCTCTCTTCAGTGTCTGATGCGGAAGCGTCAGACGGTGAAGCAGGACCGAAAATCCAGTTCCTTCACCAAAAACTTTTCCAATGCTGTCGTGTGCAATAATTTTTTTGTTCGTTTCCCTTCCTTCTCCCTTTGCTTTCTTTCTCCATCAACCTTTAACTAGTTAAAGTTATTTTATGGATGTGCCACGTTACTATTTTAGTTTGCATCAGATTTGCCTTTGAAGCAATCCCTGCTTGCCATGCTTTAACTCATGCCAGAGTGTTCTTAGTGTACGCAAACCAGGTTTCTTTTGGGTGAAACTAAACCTTAAAGATGTGCTCCAATTGCTAATGGTCGTTCAGTGCACGGGACCAGGCTAGAGCTATTACTTGCATGTTCCAGGTTTTCTTAATGGCATGGCTGTTCTTCCTTTGGCCAAGGATCTTCCGTATGTAAGAGAGGTAGATTTTTCTGGAAGACTGCTTTTTTTAAGTGCCTCTGACATTTACTATAGATAGCCTGATCTTTGTGCTGATATAAACCTTGGTGATGGAGATACACTAGTATGCTTTTGTGTAAGTATAACCATAAAAGTTTTTCTTGTCAGTGACTCTCTGGACTTGGAAAGGTCAGCGGGTGCCATCAAGGATAACGTCTTTTAAAATGAAAGACTGATTAGAAAAACTAAAACAAAATTGGTGTGGGTAACTGCAGAGTAATGGGGATTATTAAAAGTAGTTCGATAAGGCAGAAAAGCAAGCCTTTGCAAGTTAAATGTTTAAAAAATAACTACTCTAAGAATACCGAATAAAAAATAAGCTGAGAAACAGCTTGTTTGAAAAATAGAAGAAATAATTTTGTTTCTAACTTAACAGAAGCAGGAAACTTGTCGTCATGTAGGACCAATAGGTGATGTAAAGGAGCACTTTTAATAAAGATATAAACTTTAAATATAAACAGATAACTCTTCCCCCCCCGCC